AACATCAAGGACGGGATGCCAGTCCCACACAGGGCACATGCTCACACAATTATATACTATTTACGGAGAGCAGTTATCTAGTGACTAAAGAAAAATCAACTCAATGTGAATGTTACTGGCTGCGGAGATGTGGACCTGATTTTTAACAATCTGCAATCCCCCCGTAAGCAGAGTGTCTTCCATATGAAAAAGGACTGGGGAGGGTGTCAGTTTATTGTAAAGCTAAAAACTGTAAAATTTAATTATCATAGTTTCTTGCTTTCTTTGGATTTCTGTAGTTTTAAATATGCGTAAGTGGAAGCCATATTTGCTCCATATTGCCCATAGATAATAGCTAATGTAGAGTTGGTGAAGTCTGTTTTTTTCATTTTCAACCTTTATCTTATCTAGGACACAGCAAAAGACGTGCAGATTTTACATGTATTTGAACACAACACCTCTTTGTCTTTCACTGTCTGACGCTACTTCTTTTCACACCACCGTGCTAGAAAAAGTCTGATTTGCATACCCTGTTTCTGTCAGCATCTGACTGATACAAAAAACAGCAGGATAGTCCACTTAATGTTCCTGTGGGTGAGAAATATGGTAGGGTCCTTACAGATATACAGAATACATTCATATGGCTTTACTGATGCAGCTTATGTGAATATTGACCAAAAACATTTATAATGTTTCCCGGCCGCTTCCATTCAAGGGATCATAGTCATCACCCAGCACAAATTTAGCCACTAGGGCTGTTTATTTTCAGTTTTACAAAGTTTCATGGCACTCCTCACAGTCACAGACCTTAAGTGTGCTTCAGTCAAGAGCATATTCTCATGCTTGTGCTTATAGAAAATAACACTAAAATGTTAATAAACAGTAAACATTGACAGCAAACAAGTTAGCAGGCAGGAGAACTGATTTACAGCTTAAGGCAAGACCACCCCCCACTCCCAAAAATAAATATCTTCAAAAAAAGGTGATGCTGGAGGTTGCTACATTCTTGCAATAGTCAAAAAATGAGTGATGCATAAGAGCAAGTGTTTCTATTTCCTGGGTTTTCTAATTCCCGTGTTTTACCAAGTTTCCCACTTCACATAAGCTAATTTTTTTGTTCAGTGTGACATCATTAATCTGATTTGACTCAATTCTTTGTAAAATCTTTTTTTACAAGCCAATACTTGTACATCTTGTGTGGATTACTTGTGAGATCTTTGAAGAATTTGTTATCAAAGTAGACACTTCTTTAATTTTCTGTTTTATATGCTTACTTTGCAAAGTCTACATGAAATTAATTCTGAACATCAATGTGTTTTGCACCAGCATTTGCTTAATAGTCCTGAATGCTTTACTGGTGGAAATAAAAATCTTCACACAATTTTGTGGTGCAGAAATTAAACAACTTCTAAACTATTTTATATTTAAAACACATAGTTGCTTTTACAAGCAGTAGGTGTTAAACAGAAATAGCTATGAGTATTTTATCATCAAATGTAAATGATGATGTTGGCTACAAAGAAACAAGCAAATAATGGGAACAATACTCTTGCACTGACCCCATATTAGAGGTGAAAGTTCAGGTCAACCTCTCAGATCACTGCAAAATGGTTAAAAAAAGACAGATGTGTATGTACATTTATAGCTCTCCAGAAAACTCAGTAATCGCCATCCTCATCATCTGTCACAACCTCCAACTCATCATCATCCTCCTCCTCCTCCTCCTCCTCCTCTTCCTCCTCCTCCTCCTCCATGTCACATTCCCCAATAGTGCTCAGTTGCAGAATGGTGTGGTTAATCTTGCTCTCATCATCCAGCTGTTCTATATTCTGCACACACAAGGGGCAACACGGACATGGTACACTGCATATTTAAGCATTTTATGACATGCAGGATCAATAATAAGGCTTTTCATTGCTGGTCCTTGGGGTTCAAGCCTGTAATATACAGGTGTGTACCTGTGAATCACTGGTCTGAGCAGGGCTGTCCTCCCTCTGAGCATTTATCATTGACTTCAAAGCCCCTTCTTCAAACTACGGGCAAGAATGAGCGGGATTTTACAATCACATCTAATCACGACTTTGGCAAGCCTTCAGTAACTATTAGTGTACAACTGCAGGTCTAGAAGAACACTGCAATGAAAATGCATTAAACAAATTAATTCTGTAGTACAGTAAAAAAAAAAAAAAAAAAAAACAATTGAGGTGTTTTGTTTAACCACCAGATCATGATTTGAGTCTGGCTGAATCCTGGTCAGGCTGTGCAACCTTGACCAGGATAAGCAGCTGGAAAATGGACAGATGGTCAGGATGCAGTGTGGCATAGAGGGTTAGTGGGTAGTACTGTCACGACACACATCAGAGGCTATGGGTTCGAATCATGGTTCTGCTGTATGTGTGGAGTTTGCATGTTCTGTGGGCTTCTTCTAGGCACTTAAGTTTTCAGCTGTAATTAGATTAACTGGCATCTGTAAATAGCCTGCAGTGTACGCATGGACATAAATTATGGGGGGGTTGTAACCCCGGCTAATATAACCCCCCCCCAAATAATCATAATATCATGATGAATGGGTGGGGACCTCAATCCCCTCAGTAATCAATCCAAAGTTACGCCCTTGAGTGCAAGTGTGTACATGTATGTGACCTGAGATAGTCTGGCACCTTGTCCAGCGTGTATCTCAGCCTTGTTCCTTGTACTGCTCTTTATCAAGTTATACATTAAAGATGAAGAAAATCAAGAGGACATTAGTAGGTGGAACTATTCATAGAATATGTTCTCCCTTGATAGGGAATATGGATTTACCATCATAAAATGAATTTAAGAAAAAAAGAAGAAAATAATACAATACTTTAGCATTACACATTATCATTAGCAGTGTGAAAATACAAAAGCGCATTTTACTAAGATTCATGTTGAGACTAAACATTACCGTATAGCTCATCCTCCCCTTTTTAGTGGCTGTACATTTAACCCACGCTGTACAAACACCTTTCACACGTCTGTGTCACCAATTTACTCAGGCACAGCGTTCAACCATCAAGTCTTCTCACCTTCAGCCTGTTTAGCTGGTCTTGCAACATAACTTTTATCTTCAAAAGTGTCTCCTCTTCCTTCCTCAACTCCTGCAAACGGCTCAACATGATCCCAATATACCGTTTTCTTGCACACTGCAAAAAAAGGAGGGATAGGCCCTTTTCTTAACTAACCCATAGAATGCAGACTACAGTGAAAACAACTCTTAAACGAGTCCCACTGCCTTCCTTCAGCAGTGCACTTTGAATTAAAGAATCCTTCGCAGTTTCTAATAGACGATCCCGGCTCCTTCAGTGCGCCGCCGCGGGAGGTGCGCAGGCACGGGCAGAAACCGGGCGCCGCAACTATCGTTCCGAGGCCAAACAAAACATCCTTTTCTATACATATTTAACTTATTCATTGTAATAAACACATGCACTGGAAATATACAAATACGGAGTAATTAAATTTGGGAGTCGCCAACGACCTTTGGTGAAAATCTGTTTTGTTACTAGAAAACATAAAAAACATCATATTTTAGGCATACTGAAAGCTAGCATAAAATAATATAATTAAAAGAAAGCGAAAACAAGCGTGGATATGTTAAGACCTTACCCACAGGAGGTGGATTGCTGTATATGTAATACGAGGCAGATAGGTTTACCATACACACTTAAACTTATTCTACATAAATGAACCCTTCCTTTGTCGTCCGTCTCATATCATAATTTGTCGTATTCTTATGTATCGGTGCACGCATCCCTCATTTGTTAATTAAAATATTTAAAACAAGCCACCCACTTTCTCTACACTACGGAAGAGACTGAATACTAGCGATCTGCTTAACTAGCCTGTCATCGTATATCATGCCTAATACCGGCCACTCTGGGATGTGCATTGATGCCCCAATGAAGCCGCGAATGACGACTCCTGCTGGTCAAAGCCTATTACCGGTTACCTGAACGCCTTTTAGATTCTGCTCAGGCTGCTGAGTGTGCTGTACGCCACGGTGGGATTAGGTACTCATATAAATCAGTCAGTTCGTGACAACAAAATAGAAAATACCAGTAGATAAGACGGGGCGCTGATATAAGATATACATCAGCCAGCGGAAGATGCTCATTTTAATTACCTATAAGAACCCCACGCTTTTAATAGAAAGGTATCGTGTCGTAGATGTAGAATTGCACTCGTTTTCATTTTTCTGGAGTGTTTTTAGTTGTTTAAACGCAATTCAGCTAGCAGTGCTTATTCCACTTTGATTTAGTGAAACAAAATTGTATCTGTACATTATTACCGAATTTCTCCCTGGAATATAAAGTGTGTTTTATCTCAAATATGGTGTGACACATAGAAAAACAATTAGCATTTCAAATTAAAGTAGAAATACGTACCACCCACAAATAACACTGGTTAATGATAAAAACCTGTGCCAGTTATACTACATGGTAAGAGATAACTAGTATAGCTAGTCAGAATACCATCATTTATATGTAGTCCAAACTATAGAAATGCATCTCAGAAATTTTAAGGCCACGGTCCCTATTCTCTGATGTCCACTGCAGTGATGACATATCTAAGCCCTGCAATATGCCGCTGTGATCGCTTCACATTCAGCAGCCAATGTATCCCGATTTCTGAACTTGAATCTTAATGTGGAAAAAAGTGAGGTTGTGTAAGACATAACAGGGAGGCAGAAACTCTGTGTTAGTGTGTTGGCAGGCTGATGAGGATTCCTCAGCTGAGGCCAGCGATGAGAGCTGACACACTTCTCCGTCATTCAGAGTGGCATCTCTCATCAAAATATACAGGGTGGCTGGAAGCAAGCAAGCATGCAAAAATATAAACTTGTTCTACCACCATGTTCGCTAAGATACTATCATCTAATTTAGCTATAATACATGCTTATACAGGTCGTCGTCGACTTATGACCTATGCGATCTCTGACCAGTAGACTTTACCACCGAAAGAAATTACCGTGCAGTTTAACCTTTACGTGGTTAATTTGTACTTCTTTCGCAGTAAAAGGCTAAAATGCACAGTGGTTTCTTGTCATAAGAGCACAAATGCACATAAAATAAATACACATTTGTGCTGTTATGACAAGAAATTGGCCAGACTGCGATATGAAGCTGTTTCTGATGAGTTGGCACACAGTTTCTGTGAGGAACTTGCAGACTTCGGTTGCGACTGCTGACTATAATGTGATGTGGGAGATCTTCCATGATAAGACCCTGAAGGTTGCTGAGGGTTGTGTTGGTGTTGTCAGTGTTCCCAGAAGGCGTTTCATCTCACAGGGCACCCTGGATCTTATCGAGAGGAGTCGCAGCGCACGACTTGGTGGCAACTCCAGTCTGTACTGGGAACTGAGAAGGACGACTGTGAGGGCCGGGGGGCAGATAAGGAGGCTTTTGTTAGACACATCTGTGAGCAGGTGACACACCATCTGTGGTCTAGTGACCCATGTCCTGCTTACAGAGGAATTGAAGCATTATCCAAATCTGAATGTATTCCTCGGAGACTTGCAGTCAGGACAGGTGATGGGACGGTCCTTACGGATGACACCGCAGTTGTGACCTGCTGGGTCAGCTACTTTGAGAAGTTGTTTAAAGCTGATCCTAAACATCTCTGGATCCACAGTTCTTGAAGCTGATCCTTCAAACAGCTGTGAACCACCCAATCTCACTGAGATTGCACGAGTGGTGAAGCAGCTGGGGGCAGGGAAGGCCGCAGGGATCTGTGGTATCCGGGGTGAACTTCTCCAGGCTGGTAGTAAGGCTGTCCTCCTGGTATTGCAGGCAATCTTTGCTTCTATTTGGGAGTCAGGCGTCATCCCAACTGACTGGAAAATGGGACTTGTAGTTCCTATCTGGAATGGGGAGGGTGATCGCCTGGATTGGGGCAACTACAGGGGGATAACACTGCTCTCAGTGCCGTGAAAGCTTCTTGCTAGGGTCATCCTTATCTGTGATCACTTGCTTTCCTGCCAGCAACCAGAGCAGTCTGATTTCATGCCTAAGAAGTGTACCATTGCCAGCATCCTGGCACTGAGAGTTTTAATCGAGCACAAGTAGTGGCCATCAGTAGTGTGTCTGTCTGCGTGGAGAGAGTCGACCTTGTCGAGAGATTAACATACCTCGACAGCGACATTCATGTCTCTGGTGACTCTTCCTATGAAGTCACCAGACGGATTGGGAGAGCATGGAGGGGTCATGAGGTCGTTGGAAAGGGGTGTGTGGTGCTCCTGATATCTTTGCATAGAACAAAGGTCCGAGTCTTTAGAGTCCTGGTGCTTCCTGTCTTGCTGTATGGCTGTGAGACATGTACGCTTTCCAGTGAGCTGAGACGAAGGCTGGACTCCTTCAGTACTGTGTCTCTTCGGAGAATCCTTGGGTACTGCTGGTTTGTCTTTGTGTCAAACAGGTGGTTGCTAGAGGAGTCCCACATGAGGCACATTACTGCCATTGCTGAGGACCCGAGCAGCTGGAGCAGGCCGAGGAAACACCCGCGTAAGACCTAGCTGCAGCGAACCTGACCTGACAAGAAATTGCTGGGCGTGGACAGGGGTCACCATGGGCACTCTGACTGGCCTGCTGCTACAAAGCCCCATATGCAACAGGGTTCAATGTCCTGTGTATCACATTACTCCAGTGATCATCATCAAAATGATCTGTCTCAGTAGCCCTTCTGTTGGTTTACACCAGACATGATAGCTTTTATTCACATCTCACATCAGTGAGTCCTGGCCACGTTTGTGTCAATGAATGGACCTTCTGTGTTGTTTCAGGTTTTTGAGTGGTTCGTACCCTAGCGCATGGCTCCCCAATGCGCTCTGTGTGCCCAACCCCAGTGTCGAAAATTATGTCACCACAGCTGCACACACTGTGGTGTAAATATGAACCAGCCTACTTCCCCAACAAAGGTCATAATCACCGGTTAGCAACTGTCAGATATCACTGATTGCTGATAATAATGTCATATTGCCTGTCCAAGTACCCATATCCGTCGTGTGCTGTTTGGTTACATCATTTTCGGTTCAAAACACACAGTGAAATGAATGAATACTTTTCTTGACACAGGCAAAACATAAATTCACATGGACAACATTATGCTACCTGTTCCTGTGTGTTGTTACAGCTAGTGCTGGAGAGCTCAAAGACCTCCCCGAAGTCACTTAAATCAGTATAGTTTGAGAACATTTTGGTTTCTCAATAATTGACATCAACACCAGAGGAAGATTAGTTAATAAGACCAAGACTGTGTGTCGGCTCTCTTATATTGAACTCGAATATGTTGCTGGAAATACATCTAACATGTTATTTTATCCGTGTGAACTATCTAATCTAAAAACTCATTAGTATTGTTACCTCGTCTACGGGCACCAAACTATTTCTAAAGGGAATAAGTTTTAAGAGCTGATTGGTTCTTTTCATGGTCACGTGTGTTTCTCACTTGTTGCACAAGAAACTGTACTGCTCTTCTGAGCGACTACTTAATTTGTATTGTTTTATTGGTTCTAACGATTTCAACCATTACTATAAGGTTCATTTTCACTATAACAATACAGTGGAATTATAATGCAACTATTAATAAACAAATTAAAGTTTTAAATTGTCACTGATGTGACAAATCACGGAGTAAAAAAAAAATCTGGGTTTGAAATGAGACCGACATGAGCGAGTAATTTGTATGTTGCTTTGGTTTCCCCCGGTGGTTCGATTAGGCTAATTGGTATCGATGAATTTGCCGTATTGTGTACCGATATCCGCTGTGTGTTCTACCACGTACCCTAATGTTGCCCGATTCAACACGACTCTACACTAGATTAACGAGCGGGAAATTGATGCATTTTAAGAGTATGTTTGGGTTCGTTTTTAATTCCTCTAATAACGTTTTATTAAACTGTGAGCATTTGGCTAATAAATAAATACATATTTATACATCACCCTATTTCATTTAAAGGGCTGCCTGTTCAATTCTTTCACCATCAAAATGCCTCATGCAAATAATAGTTCAGTATATGCATTCCAAATAAGTAGTTGTATAATTATAGAAACGCAGACACAGCATGGATAACCGAGGCGGCACGTTTTCCCGTGTGCGTTAGCCAATGGAGAACCATGCATCCCCGATAACTTTATTATTATGTGGGCTGTCGATGGTACCATATTTAGGTTGCTGGTCATCATGTGACCGACGCGTGACGATGCGGCTCGGCTCGGCTCGGATCGGACCCGAAATTTCTGGGCATCGCCGCGTCACTGCCGAACGGTCTCCAGAAAGTTCCGTCCTGCAGCCTATAAATGCGACTTGCGGTCAGGCTGAGGGGAGGGAGCGTTCAAACGCTGCAGCGGGCTGGGGCTAGTATACGGCGGCTGTGAGACCGGTACGGCCGCCGGACCGACAGTAGCCGAAAACATCGGTGAGCGACCTGGGGATTAAAACATTTTGATGTTACAAACCGACTTTACTCGTCAGATCTGAGGTAATTATCGATGGAAATACGCGCAAATTTCTCTCGTAAATTTTTATTGTCGCGGCTCTTCCGTTTCATTGTGCTCGTTCTGTCAGCAGGATAACCTGTCAGGATGGTTAAAGAAACGGGCTTCTACGACATCTTGGGCGTCGGGCCCGCATCGTCTGCGGAGGAGATAAAGAAGGCGTACAGAAAGCTGGCGCTGAAGTATCACCCGGACAAGAACCCGAACGAGGGCGAGAAGGTAAGAGACGGGCGGGGAAGCTTCTGGAAGGGCTCCTTCGAGACTGTCCCCGGTCCGGGTTACAGTGTCACATTTTAATGGGCTTATTTACCCTTAGATTTAGCTTTTTAAGCCATGTGAAATGCCTCTTTTCGTGACAGGGGTATCACAATTAATGCAACAATCCGCAAATATATACACGTGTGTGTGTGTGTACTTAATACGAGTTAACGTATACATGGGTGTCTACGAAATATTTTCAGTTAAGTGTTGCAGTACTTCAGGTTCACATGCAAGGTGCGTCGGGGGTTTTAGAGGGTGCCCTGGTTGGTAGTTGTCTGAGGGGGGAGTGGCAGTGAATATTGCATTTTAAGTGGGAGCCCCCTCCCTCCGGGCGCATATTTTCTCTCCCCCTCCGCAGTTCAAACACTGTGTTTATTGTCTATGCAATTCCATACATTTATTATATATATATATATAGATCACTCAAGCTGATAAATTCCAACCTGATCCTTTAGACCTAATGATGAAAGGCTGACTGTGTCCTTTTGTCTGCTGCAGTTTAAGCTCATTTCTCAAGCCTATGAGGTCCTGTCAGACCCAAAGAAGAGGGAACTTTATGACCAAGGAGGGGAGCAAGCCATTAAGGAGGGAGGTATGAGTGGAAGTGGATTTTCTTCTCCAATGGACATTTTCAACATGTTTTTTGGTGGTGGTAGCAGAATGCAGAGAGAGAGGAAAGGTAAGCCTAATTTTATTGGCTTTTTCAGAATAATACTTTTAAAACAAGTGAAATGTCTGCTTTCGTTTGAAGAACTGGTACTAGAATCATTCATTCATTCACTGAGACAATTTTAAAAGCAACCATTTTCATGCAGTTTATGGACACAATGATTTGTTGTTCACCATACAAAGATACTGTTTTGTTATTTGATTGTATAGATATTGCTTAGTATTTCTGTGTTCCTATGCCATAGGCAAAAATGTAGTTCATCAGTTGAGTGTTACACTGGCGGAGATGTACAATGGTTCAACAAGAAAACTTGGCCTCCAGAAGAATGTGATCTGTGAGAAGTGTGATGGTATGTTGATATTCATTTTAGTAACATTGCATTGTTGCTTTGGAACATGCATGGTGAATCTCAAGGTTTACTGTAAAAACGATCAATAATAACCCCTTGCCTAGAATAATTTGGCTTATTAGTGTTAAACAATGCACATTAGCCAGGACAGCTCCAATACAGGCAATTGATTGAACAATTAAGTTCAATCACTGCAAATATATGCCTGTGTAAGTTCCTGTCTTATCACAAAAGCAATATTCTGTAGAAATTAGTAATTCATGCAAAATGTAACCAGGATTGAGGTTATCTGACATGTTTAATATGAACTGTTTTTGCAAAACTTTCAGTTTTAACAGGCTGCCTGTGCTCACTCTAAACTGTACATTTTTAATAGCCTAAAGCTAGGTCTGTGTCCCATTTACAGGTTATGGGGGAAAGAAAGGAACTTTGGAGAAGTGTTCAAACTGCAAAGGGAGGGGAGTTCAGATCCAGGTGCAACAGATAGGCCCAGGCATGATTCAGCAAATCCAGAGCATGTGTCCGGATTGCCAGGGCCAGGGAGAGAGATTCAACTCCAAAGATCGCTGCAAAAATTGCACTGGGCAGAAAGTGGAGCGCAAGAAAAAGATCCTTGAAGTCCACATCGACAAAGGTAAGTGGGCAAGTCAGCATGTAAACCTGGTTCTAGGACTTAATTTCATGCCTGTCCTTGCAACTCAAGTAGTAGTGTTGTAATCTCTTAATTCATCTAGGCATGAAGGATGGCCAGAAGATCACATATTATGGAGAAGGTGACCAGGAACCAGGTCTGGAACCTGGTGATGTAATTATTGTCCTTGATCAGAATGAGCACCCTGTCTTCCAGAGGCAACATGATAACCTCATTATGAAGATGGAGATCAAGTTGGTCGAAGCACTCTGTGGGTTTAAGAGAACCATCACCACTCTAGATAATAGAGAACTTATGATCAGCTCACCACCAGGTAAACATCACATGCCATTTATTTTGAATCTGAAGTTGAACTTTTCATGTGCATACTTTGCTGTGTTTGATACATTATACTTCTGGAGGACACAAGAACATAAGAAATTTACAAATGAAAGATTAATAAGACTCCACTGTATTGCAGGAAAAGTTCTGAAACACAATGACATAAAAAGCGTCCAAAATGAAGGCATGCCTATCTACAAAGATCCATGTGAAAGGGGCCAGCTAATCATCCAGTTCATTGTAAGTTTGCTTTTTTTGATAACTTGGGATTCTTGTGTTTGTTTTCCCAGTACTTTGAAGAAATATTTTGGTGCATGTTTCCAGCTGCAGTTGGAAAGTGACTGTGAATTTCAATTGGACTGCTTTTGTTTAGGTGGAATTTCCGGAAAATGGTTGGATCTCTAATAGTATGTTACCCGACTTGGAAGCTCTGCTGCCTCCTAGAGAAGAGCTCGTCATTTATGATGATGCGGAAGAAGTGGATCTCTGTGATGCAGACCTCAGCTCCCAACAGCATGCTCACAGTGGGGAGTCTTATGAAGAGGACGAAGGGCCTAGGGGTGGAGTGCAGTGCCATACTCAGTGATGGGGATCTTTGTGGCTCTGACACAAAGTGAAGTACGAATGCATGAAACTTGTGTGTGTTTATGTACCTTTTGTATGACCCTGGTTGAGGGATCTTGTGTCAATAAATACACCAAATAAACCTGGACATTTTCCTCTTCATCTTATTGTCACAAAGACTGTAATAATATGCTTTCTGTGAAGGTGAATTTGTCACTGTAAGAGTACCAGTCAAGTAAAGATTTGTCAGTTTCTGTAATAATATGAAACTTGTAATATTTTGGCCAATACTAGTTCTTTATCTATGTAACCTTGTTGACTTGAATCACAGAATTAGATAAAAACCTTTTGAAATATACCTGCTCATGGTGAATTATGCTTATGAATATCTGGCTTCGGTGCAGCTAATCACATCTGATAAGTGTTGTGAGGACGAAAGTTCTTGTCTGAATGTCCAGCAATTTAGAGTGAAGGATAGTGTTCTGGGTTAATATGAACCTCTTGAAAAGGGGGATTTTCAACCCAATTTATGCAGCAACTCTCACAAAATGTTTAATTTACTAAAAAATACAGCAGACCAATAAGTTTCTTGCTTTTAATTAATAAATCAAGCATTTATAAAGAACATGGCTTTAATTACAGTAAACATAGCAGAAATATCCTGCTGTCTATGAAAATCATTTCATTGGAACCAAAATTAAGGCATTTGATCAGTGGGGTGCATCGTATCTCTCACGATGTAATCATTCCATTACTGACATGTCTTCAGTGTTGCTTTCGTCTGAAAGAGCAACCTAAAAAACAACACACCATTTCACTGAATCCACCTATTATTCAAATTCGATCCATTTATATAAGTATAAAGAGAATGGATCAATACCAATTATTGCATCATGCTACAACATTGAATCACAATCTGGAAACACTTGAGGATATGTAGTACTTACTACATTCTTATTTAATGTATTAACCAGAAACTAAGTGTTAGTTACATTCTGATACCATGTTCATTCATGTATTTCAGTTATATTTGTAACTGAGTAGTAACCATGTTATTTGTGCCCCCTCAAAATGTCACCCAAAACTTATAATCAAATTCAAGTCGGATGGATGAAATCATGCAGGGTACCTTATAAAAACAACATTCTGATCTAAGTAAAATCTCAAATATTTAGTGTTTAACCACTTACCCTCGGTCAGCCTGGCTTTCCCACCAGTCGGCTGGCAGAGCACAGTAGAGCAGCCTACACACAAGACCACTGTCTGAGCATGACTGAACACTGTTGTGATCTTATAGCAGCCTGCAAACAATAACAATTCTGTTACAATAAACAAGCAAACAGCACAAACCCATATAAACGAGAGTACAGTTAGTGGCAAAAACTAGATAGACCCAAAGAAACACCTGGGCATTTAACATCCATGAAGTAAGAATTGGGACTTTGAACCAGGCGTTTTTTCTTATGTTGTTTTCTCTCTAGGTCAAGAGAAGGATGAAGTAAATCTTTTGCCAACTGAAACAGAAAACAAAAGTAGTTACGAGTTAGAAACAGGCCCGCAGGAAATGAACGACTCGAGCAGCAGTCAGCACCATAACGTATTTTCAAGTACATTTCGACTAAAATGCACTCTTTTAAATCACGTTTCTCAATCAAAACATTTTACCACGTACAAAAATGAGTCACGTTTCTTAGTGTATGGACATGATAACGACTCCAGGACCCAAGGAAAATGTTGCCCAGGGAGGTCCATAAAGTCATGTCACAATGCTTATCGCAATACACACCTAAAGTGACACGCTACATTTCCACCCCATCTTGGTTAATGTTTCTTTTATAGATATCTCCGATGCTGACTGCTACATTTGCCAGAAACTGAAGTAAACTTTAAAATGCATGCAAACATAAATAGACAAACATGATTAAACGGTTCATTATAACAGCTGTTACACATTTGCTTAAATAATTACAGATAGTTAGACAAAACCAAGATATAGTGTAAAGCAGAACCATACGATCTAAACCACAGGTGTCAGACTCCAGTCCTGGGGGGCCGGAGCCCTGCACATTTTTGGGTTTCCCTGATTCAACTTCTTGTGCTAATTACGACATAACAGTTAAGCTGAATCATTTGTGGTGGAACAGGGAAAGAACTAAGCTACACAGGGCTCCGGCCCCTAAACCTTAACGCCGAAAGGAGCAGTTTGTTTTCATGCGCCACGTTATTATGATTCACCAAAACAGACACGCATCAGAGTAATGGCGCCGATCAAAATGCTGCGGGGTGAGGCAGCCATATGCGCTGGCCACATGAAATAGCAAACTTCAGAAACATCAGCGCGAAGCGGAAATCTCGGCTAAATCTGACGCTTTGGAAACGCCAGCAAAACAATGTCAATTGTAAATATGAAAAATCTGCAGAGAAAAACATTACTTACTGGCATTTTGACTTGGTACTGTTCGCTTGCATAGATAGATCGATTGGTTTGCCTGAGAGTGAAATTAAGTGGTTGCCAGTTCCAGGATTAGAATCCCCCGTTTCGCACGGTTCCACGGGGTTGCCACCGCCGATTGGATAATTCGAGAAGTTAGTCCTGTAAAATACAGGATAAATAGAAACCTGGTTCTTAAGGCTGTATGCGCGGAAGTAAACATCCAATGGTTAAAACATGGTCACGACGTAGCCATTTTTTATTACGTTTATTTTATGTCTTTTCCCCAGTCTTCATTAAATATTTCAAAGATTACCATGATTTGTGTAAAACTATGATATTATGTCTGTCAAATTGTGTTACCTTAACCATTTCAAAACCTCTCCTCGAGTTACTCAGTATTTGCAGGTACCATTCAACTATATGGCAAGCCGTTTTACCTTTAATATTAATTTCTAGAGGATATCACAAATTCAGTTCGAATTAGTTAGAATGCAAATTATTGTATATTATTGATTTCGGAAATTCAGTTGTAACAGTTCAAATGCAAAATATTGATATCTGGAGTTTTTGAGATTAAAAACGTTTTTCTCATTCATTTACATAAGAACATAAATTTACAAACGAGAGGGGGCCATTCGGCCCATCAAGCTCGTTTGGGGAGAACTTAACTAATAGCTCAGAGTTATTCTTATCTAGCTCTGATTTAAAGGAACCCAGGATTTTAGCTTCCACTACACTAACAGGAAGACTATTCCATACTCTAACTACACGCTGTGTAAAGAAGTGCTTCCTCAAATTTGTTTTAAAATGTTCTCCCACTAATTTCCACTTATGGCCACGAGTTCTAGTATTTAAACTAATATTGAAATATCCATTTGGCTGAACAGCATCCAGACCCGTTAGAATCTTATAGACCTGAATCATGTCCCCCCTTAGTCTCCTTTGCTCAAGGCTAAACAGATTCAGCTCCTCATAAGACATTCCTCTAAGACCAGGAATCACTCTTGTAGCCCTCCGTTGCACCTTTTCTAAGGCAGCAATGTCCTTCTTAAGGTATGGTGACCACACCTGCACACAATATTCTAGGTGGAGGCTTACCAAGGAATTATATAAGTGTAACATCACCTCCCTTGACTTAAACTGCATACACTTAGAGATATAACCCAACATTCCATTGGCCTTTTTTATTGCTTCCCCACACTGGCGAGAGTGGGACATGGAAGCATCAACATACACACCAAGATCTTTCTCGTAATCAGCTACCTTTATTTCACTGGAACCCATAAAATGTCTGTACTTTATATTTCTGCTCCCTGCATGGATTACCTTGCATTTATCTGTGTTAAATTTCATCTGCCAAGTATCAGCTCAGTCGCTAATTAAATCCAGATCCCATTGTAGCCTCTCTGCTGCTAGATCAGTATCTGCTACACCACCCACCTTGGTGTCATCTGCAAATTTAACCAGTTTACTGTATGTATTGGTGTCAATATCACTAATGTAAATTAGGAACAATAGTGGTCCTAAAATTGAACCCTGCGGTACCCCACTATGAATGCAGGCCCACTGTGACATTGTGCCTCTAATAACTACTCGCTGCTTCCTATCAGTTAACCAGTTTTCGATCCAAGCTGCCACAGTTCCTAAAATCCCTGCAGCTTTGAGCTTTAGCAAGAGCCGTTTGTGGGGGACAACATCAAAGGCCTTCTGGAAATCTAAGTAGATCACATCAGAGAGATGGATAATGCCACTTCTTTCAAAAAGATTTATGACCTAAAGGCCAAAAGGTTACGGATCGAGTTCACTGGGGGGGCGGGGTTGGGGTGGAGCCAGGTGACGTCACGACTAGTGATGTTGTTAATTATTTGCATATTCAGTCCTTTCCAGTTGTGTGCACTGGATAGGGCACACTCAGTAGGGTTACAGTTGGATTAGAGTGCGCACTACGAAGTACACTACGAGGGACTGAGTATGCCCTTTCTAGTGCGCACTTCGTAGTGTACTTCGTAGTGCGCACTACGTAGTGCGCACTGGAAAGGGCATACTCAGTCCCTCGTAGTGTACTTCGTAGTGCGCACTTTAATCCAACTGTAACCCTACTGAGTATGCCCTATCCAGTGCACACAACTGGAAAGGACTCAGTATGCCCTTTCCAGTGCACACTTCGTGGTGTACACTTCGTAGTGTACACTTCGTAGTGCGCACTTCGTAGTGCGCACTTTGTAGTGCGCACTTTGTAGTGTACACTTCGTAGTGCGCACTACGTAGTGTACACTCTGTTGTGTGGACTCGATAGGGCATCTCGTCGCGCCGCACCACGGACTCCCTCATGCTCAGTGCCATTGTGTCCAACATATTATGAATGAATGAATGCCTTTTTATTGTCACATTTTAAAACTAAAAGTTGTTCATTGTTTTTTTTTTGTGTACTTTTAGTGAAAGCTAGGCATTTGCACTGGGGCCAATCCTTAATCGGCCATTGAAGCTTACTTATATTCTGTTTTTCTACTTTATTTTGAATTATTTTTAATTGCTGGAGTATGTTCTGTATGGTTTCGTTTGTTTTGAAACAAATGACAGTATTGAGCTCACAGTGTTGTGCAGTCTCTCAAGATGTGGGATGGTGAGAAAGCATTGGATGTTGATCTCATTCAAGATCAAGTCCAAAGCCAGAGTAGCTGTCTTGGCTTTGGTTTAGTTCCTAAGGAAGTGTCAAAGACTGACAGACAGGCTGGAGCCTGTATCTCTTACCTGTATTAAAAATTTATTGTAATGTGACCAGACAGCAGAGAGGAACTGTGTGCAGTAGGTGTCCAGGATTGGGAGTCCAGTTTCCACTATGGTTCTTGGTATGTGGAGCTTGTATGTCCTCCTCATATTTGTTCTGGGTTTCTCTCCACACAGCTCAAATTGCACAGAAAGGTGAACTGGCATCTCTGGCTTGTCCTTAGCATTTGAATTTGTGTGAGTGTGCCCTGTGATTGGCTGGCATTCTGTCCAGATTATCCTGTCCCCTCTGATATGGAAGTGAAGGAAGACGTAAAATAGCAGCCCAATAGAAGTACCTTTCAATAAACCATAACTATTCCATGTATTTCCATCTTCATGTCCTGTAGTCCCTCTGATCGCATTAAGTGGAAAAAATTGTAATCTTCTTATGATCGGTGGATTTGGTTATTCTTCAGGGGTTTATGTTCTCATAAGGCTTATAACTGTCACATCTGTGTTAGAAATCAGATACAACCCATTGTAAGCTGTAATATTAAGTGTTGTTACCAGCCATTCTGTTCAATCCTGACTCATGCTCACATAATTACTTATTTTCCTGTGCAGGGTTGCAGAGGTCTGAACACTATGGGTGCAAGGCAGGGAATAACTCAGGATGGGGCACCATCCACACCTATGGGCAATTTAGCAACTCCAGTTCATCTTAGCATACTTAGCAAACCAGTGAACCCAGAGAAAACTCCAGATATGAATGAATGAATGAACAAATGAATGAAAGTTACATTTATATACTGTAGCACTTTTTCAAACACCCAAAGCGCTTTACAGAACCAATGGGGAGCCACTTCAAACACCACCATTGTGTAGCCCTCACCTGGATGATGCGACGGCAGCCATTCTACACCAGTATGTGCACCACACTCTAGCTAAGGTGGTGAAGGGACAATAGAGAATTCACCAATAAGATATAGGGGATGATTATGAGGCCAGATCTGATAGGGCCACAGCGGGCAATTTTAGCCAGGACATCGGGCTACCACACCTACTCTTTAAAAAGATGCCCAGGGACCTTTTATGACCTCAGAGAGTCCGGACCTTGGTTTTACGTCTCATCTGAAGGATGGCACCATTTTTACAGTGCAATGGGGCTTTGGGATCCCCACAGACCACAGGATGGGCTGACCTGCTGGCCAGTGTTCCCATCACTGCAATGGGGCTTTGGGATCCACACAGACCACAGGATGGCCACACCAAACCCTGGTCCCAGTGATGTGTGACAATAGTGCTGATCACTTGCATGGATTTAGTGTCTTTAAATTCATTACCAATAGAACCTGTGTCAGTTTTCTTTTTGGCCTTTAAGTTCTGCAGCATTTCTTAATGGATGCTAATATATTCTCATTATAAAATAATACTAAAGACAACAACTGCATTTTGTTTTCACTGAAATGCCTAGCAATGGGAATGAATCTCTCGATCAATTAAATCACTGTGCGAAGCAAGAATTAAACTCATCAAAATGAATAAAGCGCCAAATGATTTTAAAAAATGAAAATAGGACAAATTTGATAGTAATGACGTTTATTAACTGCATTGCATTTATCTTCTGCAGACAAGGTTAAATAAATTTTTACAGAGACCTCACTCTTTAAACATTTAAAACAGCATCATCGTTGTCAACATTGTCATATCATTATTGAGTTTAATAAGCTAGTGGTGTATTATGCAGCAATCGATTGTGTGCATGCCACTGTTTCCTTTTCCTCTTTATAATTACAAGTACACCATCAAACAATGCTGGTATAAGTTATCTCTGCTTTCAAAGGCCAGGGTTTTCATGCACTGTATGGTTATTAGGAGGACCTGCTGGGCATGCCTTAAAGGATCTGGGGCTCAGATCCCTGTGAGGCCTAGAGCAGGTTGAAGGGGTTAACCTTAGGCTCAGATCTGGGGACTAGCTCAGTCCTATCATCCAGCTTTTGCACATTTGTGGGTAAAGGAGGTGACGGCTGCTGACAAACCTGCTTGGGAACTGGAGGCTTTAATTCCTGTCAGTTTAAGATAAGAGATAAGAGAGATACTGTAACTATAATACAGTACAATGAGATTTTGTTCTTGTGCTGCAGTTTTTAAACAATGACAACAGACTAACAAAGGAAAACAACAACAACAACAACAAATTTATTTTTGTATAGCGCATTATCACAACATTACATTGTCCCAAAGCGCTTTACAGCATCCCCACCCAAAGCCCCCAGTGAGTAAGCCATAAAAAGCGATAAACACTGATAAGGCAGAGTTACACACTTATACACATGTACACAGTGGATGGTGATATGCAGATCAAAACCACGTATGTTTATGCACATGTAGGATCAGGAGGGTTCTCTGTGAGCTGGATGAAGCAGGGTTGGGGCCAAAGGGCATGAGAATAGGAGCTACACCAGCCCCGCCCATTTTGGCTCATGTCAACAAGCAAAGCCGTGATTGGCTAAACTCAACCAATAGCTGTGGTGTCACTATGAGGTCAGTGGTGACAGCTGAGCTTCCCTTTGCTGTCCCTGCCTATCTGGAGCTCCAGGCATAGGATGACAAAGGGAAACCCACAGGCCACAGGGTGGGGGAGGGGGGTCCACGCCACATACTGTATGCTGCTCCATGTCTACATCAGCTCACTTGGTCTTCAGCCCAACAACAGAAAACAAGTTAGAACCTCATCTCCAAATATTCAATAGGAACATTGTGAGGTATTCTACAACTTAATCCAATATTTTTTTCTTTTCAGGGCAATGGAAAGCTTTCCAAAGAGAATCTTTTTCTGACTAATACAGCGGGACCTGACTGGGGAATTTACCCAGATCTTCTGCAAGGAATTTGTCCAAGTCTCCAATGCACATACACAAAATTTAGAAGCTTAAAGGCAGTCCCCCAGATAAATGGTAGCATAACATATATTATGGCCATTCCAAATATGGAACATTACTTTGGTTGCATTCCATTTGGCTGCAGGCTTGTATCTATTCTTATTCTCTCTAAACTGCCCGTAATATCCCATGAGGCAATGCTCATGGCACAGTTAATTCCTTTGGTCTGGAGGAGTGGTCCTTGAAAATAGAAGCATCCAAACACAGCACAGGCACACAATTAAGTAAACCTACTACGTTTTACTGTTTTAACCACAGTACATGAAATTTAAAGCAACAAAGCTCTGTTACTCAGGCGAGATTAATTACTCAGGCTTCAGTTTCTGATCATTTGTAAAAGGTTGTTACCACTGGAAATCAAACAGTCCTATTTCCTTAAACTAGGCAAGTCGCATGTTTGCTAAGGTCACTAAAATTATCTTAATTTTGATTTGACTCGTTATAATAATTCATAGCATTAATAGTAATAGTCAATAAATGCGAACTAAATGAGACTATTAAAACACATGAAATAACTGTTATTTTGTAATGGTAGTACATTATCAATACTTCTATTGCTACTCTAGTAGTGCCTCTAGTAGCTATATCTATATGTGCTGTGTCAGTAACTATAAAGATCATCAGTATGAGAGTATATCTGCTGCAGGTGTCCAATGGCCTGCTTGGTCCCTTACAAAGTAATATTCTAATACCGTATTCTTTTCATGAAAGGTTACTTTGAAACAACTTTTTTAGACCAGGAAACATCAGACCTGGGTGTTATTAATTCCCCTGGTCTCATTCAATGTATACTGAATAACGTGTAAATGTTCAATGTAAGTTCAAAACATGGAGACACTCCGACAAACAGTCCAATAGCCTGCAATAAATGAATGGTGAATGGCTGCTGTACAATGCTCCTCTGAGAGACTTTTTCTGATACTGAATAGATATTGACCACTGAGTAGAGCAGTTGATTCCCCTCCTCCATTCCTGCAACCACTTCATGCCGTCTCCACTGGAGTTAGGGGTGCTGGGCAGGGGGAAAAAGTAAAACAAGATTACAGTAGACCTGAATTGTTATGGCTAGTTTTGTGAAACAAAGCCCGACAACTTGGTTCCTGTCAGTATAAACCGTGTAAACAATACACTACAATCAGGGATTGACATAACTGGTACGCAAGTACGCATTCGCCTATAGATACGTGCGGCAATCGATTGTTGTAACAGCATGAATGCGTACGTACAAAATTATCATGCATTTTAACCTATATATGCTAATTCGTACTTCATTTGCGGTATAGAGGTTAACATGCGCGGTAATTTCTTGTCATATCGGCGTAAATGCACATAAAATACGTACGTATTTGTGCTGTTACATTAATCGATTGCATTTCATTTATCGCTTTTAAAGGTGAATGCGTACTTACGTACCAGTTATGTCAATCCCTGACTATAAATATAGACAGCTTTCTTTAACTAAGCTTGACAATTCTGCAGAGAAAAAATGAACTTGAACAACTCAAAACGAATGTAGAAGGTAGACATGGAATAATGTCTCTTATAAACAATAAAGACAAAGTACTCCTAAAACCAAAATCTGGAACTAATAATGGAAATAGTGTACACACGATGAACAGACAGTTCTGCTCCCCTAAAATGTTCACACCTACAGTATGTGTGATACCTACTACTGCCAGAATTCTGCTATTAGCCGCATGAGTCCAAAATTTTGCTGTCCTGGATGTTCCAAATCCTCTTATTCGGAGCCTAATCATAATCCTGAGAATGCTAAAACAGAGGCTTAGCGCAGCCCCGGAAAGTCCCAGGATGCAGTACTGTGCGATGCGCAGATAGGTCTAATAAATTGTGCTGTTGTTATTAACACAAAGCACAGTGTGGAGACTCAGTGCCCTCACTGCCATATTCAGGCTAATTATACCCCAGGGCATCCATAGAACACAGTGCGATGCAAAGCAAGCACAGAAGAGCATACTTCCAATAATTATTATAGAAGTAATAACTTTGGAAGTTATGACAACCCTGGTTGTTGCTGTATGACAGCAAAATGACCTTTGCACAGACAGTTACTGCTGTTGCAGGGGAATAGAGTATTTGCAGTGTTGGTCCACAATCTCATTGTTTCCCTTGTCTCATTGGCCGTAATACCAATTACACTAAAGCGTTATTCCTAAATCAACAGGCTGTTAGGTTAATAGAACCTCGGTTCAAAGCAATATCTGTACGGGTTTTTGTGCTTGGCTTAATCCTAATTAAAATCAACATGTTTGAAGCAAATCTCTGCAGGAAGTTCAGACAGGGGTGACAAAGAGGATTGGAAAAATCCAGATCTCGAGGCTCGACCTAGCGTGCAGCCATGCAGGGACCCAGAGAGCTTAATGAACAAGAGCTGAACAGTGACATCTGATCATCACTGTCGTGGAAGCTCCTTTCTGAGAGCTCACATTAATTTACTAATGAACGACCAAACAACAACAACAATGTGAAGAAAATATTATAGAAATGTGACTTTCGACTTGCCCTCATCGACTCTTTTCCAAAACATTCTAGGATAACTGACATAAACTATTCTAAAACACTCTTAAAAATGAGTTGGCTTAATGGGACATTAACCATCATCTTTCGAAAATCTTTCATAAATTTAAAAATGCTAAATTAGACAAAAATATTTTGCCAACAGTCTTCTGATTACTGTACAGATTACTGTCCACTAAATGTTCTATAGGAAATTCTTCACTGGGATCCAGCAGTCCGTCATCATTTCAGATATATTATATGATATTTCAGGTCGAGCTGCACAAGAAACTCTAGCTTCTTGGCTTCGTTTATTTGCATCAGTCGATACTTAAAATTCTGAGTTGAAAAAGATGTACTACCAGCAACCCCCACTGATGATTTAAAGCGTGGATGTTCTAGGTTTTCACGGACTCAGATATATCATACAGTCTGCTTCCTACCTTGGTGTTTGATGAGAGACTTTCTCAAGGAAACCACAGAGGAAGAAGCGCAGGAGAATGGGAGAGACGGACTCGGTGCCTGGCCTGAGGCTGCTTGGGGCGTCCCAACCAGATGCACACTCCTCATCTTCTGCTCCCAGTCCGACCAGCTCACTGAAGCCCATAGCACCCTGAATTCCATCCCCTTATGAAGAACGCTTCATATGATGAGCATGTGAGCCGGCTCTTTGTTCAGGCAGGTCTTATGACTCCAGTTCAAGGTAATCCTTTCTGCAGTCTTGTGACCCACCTCCTTGCCTACAGGGTATTTTCATCCCTCTCCGGAACAAGGCACAACAAATCTGCTACCCCACAATTGGCAGATTGTCGAAGTTCTTCATTACGCTTCCTTCCAGGCAAACCATGTTGGTGCTATGGCTACGGAGACTGTGGAAAGGAAGTCTTACCTTCCATATGCAAGACAGAAAAGAAAAAGAATAGAAAAGTAAATTCGAAGTAATTTCGAAGTCTTAGCCGTTCCAGCCCCAACTGCTTTGATGTCAACTTAATTTGCATAATTGAAGCAATTGGGCTCAGGCATTCTTTTCAAAGGGCCCTTGTAAATACACAACTGGGCTCCAGTTAGAGTTCAAGTCACCCAAACGTAATTGCAGTAGCACTTTCCCTTCCAGAATGTTTAATTCCCCCTCCGCTGGGCCAAATGTTTGGAATCTTCAAAGTAAAATAAATCTGACTGATTAGCAACTCCAGCGTAAATGTGTTTTCAACGGGTTAGGCGCAAATGTTAGCTGTCATCTGTCATCACCATCCTCTGCACTGACTGCTGAAGGCACAGCCGATTAAAAGTCAGGAAGTGGATGGAAGCCTCCTGCGTGTGAAAGACCTGGAAACATCTGACGAGACATTTCCAGACTTGCTTCAAACAGATAGACATGTCTTTGAAACACTGTGGCTACAGAGAGATGAATGAGAAACTAGCAATCCTTCAAAGTATATAAACCAACATTAAGATATTCTATATAAATTGTTTTCCTCAGAATCCTCTATGGCAGTGTTTCCCAACCCAGTCCTCGGGGAACCCCGGACAGTTCACATTTTTGCTTCCTCTCAGCTCCCAGCGCACCTGTGCCAGGTATTCGGTGTTCCTGATTGGCTGGGTGGTGAGAGGGAGCAAAAACTGGACTGTCCAGCTTTCCCAGACCATGCATTTGTTTCAACCAATCAGCTGAGTATTTTCTGACTGTGACTCTTTGTACTCAACTTTTACTCTCTGGACCTGAATTATCTAGCTCTGTTGAATACATTACAGAAACAGCAATATTCTCTTGGTAATCACAGCACGGGCTCAATCACCTATGGCACCAGGCATTAAGGGCCTTGCTTAAGGATACACAAACACATAACCATTCTGCCAAGGCCAGCCTCAAACCGACAACCCTCTGATCAAAGGCACAGAGGGTTAGGCTGCTCAGCCACACAGCACCCTGCATGGGTTTGTTTTCATTGACCTAAGGTGCTGAACATATATACAGAAGGAAGATATAGGACTATATCTATCTATATATGACCACAGGATCAGCAGCCAACCATAGTGTTGAAATTAAAGACAGATTCAGCTTTAAGTAGTTTTTGTCCTTACAGCTGTAGTGTTGATGATTATTGGTGTGTTGGTACTGAAAACAACTGTTTACTGTATCTGAGAGGAAATGTTAATGAGAGGATGTTAGGACTATAAAAATGTATGCATCCATCTTCCAGCAGCTTATCCTGGCCAGGGTCAACGGGACTCAGGGGCCTGTTACAGGCCATACAGAGCACAAGGCTGGAGTATTCATTGGAGGGGACACCAGTTAGTCACAGGGCACACACACACAGACCTGTACTCTTACCTTTGTGGGGACTGTCTATTCAATTCTATAGGCAAAACTCTAATCCCAATAATGACAACCTTAACCCGTACTCAGCCATAACCTTAACCATAAGTAACCAAACAAAATACAAGTCTTTTGGTATTTTTAGTTTCTTGATTGCTGATAGAAGATTGAATTTCCCCTTGTGGGGACCGAAAAATGGTCACACACACACACACACACACACACACACACAATCATACACTATGGGTGATACAGAGATGCCACTTATCTTACTTGTATGTCTTTGCAGCCCAACACGCTCAGCAGAAGTCTATGCATCATGAGGAGTACATGCATGTTATAAAAAGGCCTAAAACTTTAATGCTCTTTCTGGAAGGCCGCTTTCTCATTCGCAGAAACTTTCTGAAAGGGGGTATTTGTTCTGGATTCGAAAATGCAGTTAGCCATCACATGAGCAACACGTCATTCATTAGCCCTGAGAATCAGACAAGTCATGAGATGTTCTTTTGCACAAAGGTATTGTGTGTGAGGGCCAGAGAATTCAAGCAAGAGTAAATGATTTGTGTTTTTGGGTTAAATCTGACATTTGCGATTAACCCAGAGGAGCATTTTTAAATATAAAATGTGGCTCACTATTAATAGTGTGTGCTGCAGCGTAATTTGCACTAATGCTAATTTTTGTTGGGCAGTGTTTGAATGGCACCGAAACGAGTTTCAGAATCTCTGTATTTATGCACTTAAAGAAATAAATGAACTGCCTCAATGAGCAATTTCAATGTGTTACAATCGTGCCAAGTTACATACTGTAAGATACAATCCCATGTCCGAAATAGCTGGGAGGCCGTGTAAAATGTAAATAAAAACAGAATGCAATGATTTGCAAATTGCATCTGCAATGCACCCTTGTGTGAGACTAGGGGGGCACCCCCCCCCCCCAACCCAGTTGTCTCCTACCAGGCAGATGCAGTCTGTGTCAGGGCTGGACGAAAGCTAACCTCCCCAATTAGCCTTTTCTGCTATTACAGAGGTATGCTAGACGTTTTATTGTGTAATATTATTATGGAAAGCAGAGGTTTAGTAAAATGACACAATCAGAGCATGCTGGCGGATTATCCCTTAATAAACCATGACTGAAGGGAAGCCATACAGCAGTAATTTTGCTGGGGACAGGGGCAATAATGCCAGCTAATCTGCCACATGAAACAGTATAAGAGGCAGATTATAAGAGGCAGATTATAAGAGGCAGATTATAAGAGGCAGACGAGAAACCTTAACTCCGTCTTCTAACAACCTGCTTCACACTACTTCACCCTGAAGTCGGTGATGCTATAAACTGATGTTGGTCAAACAGTATTTTTCCATTTTTTTTTTATTATTCCTGTAATACTAAATATGTCTAATTTTTTCGGTATTCATAGCAATACACTACATCGCTAAACTATTTGATTGTAGACGTATTTTACCAAGCCGTAATCCTACTTGTTCCGATTGTAATAAGATTTAGGTTCCTTAAGACTAAATGATTTAAAACTAGAACTGACCTGCATGTACCTTGGATACCTACAGTATATGATCACCACATAGTCATAGATATTTGCTGAACTCTGGAGCTCCATTGTTTATTGCTTAAATTATAACGATAGCACACACACACACAGACAGACAGACACACACACACATACTTCATGTACCAAGTTGACTTTGTGTTCTTGAAGTTTTTTGTTTATTCATGGGAAACTTGGGATCAAGGAAAAAGAATAATAAGGATATAAAATGGGATGTTTACAAATCTTTTTACTGATGTTTATCACCTTTTATGTTTCTTTGCCCTCAGTAGACCAGTGCGACACCAGTGTTACTATAGTTTAATTTTTATATTTATATAGTTTTCAAATTTCATTTGAAATGCAGTTTAGTTTTACTTAGTTTTCAGTGTGATTTTACTAGATTTTATTTGTTTTTATTTTAAAGAAATATTTCTATTTAGATTTTATATATTTGGATTTAGCAATGTTTAGGGATGGATTGAAGGCTGAAGGGGTATTTTATGTGTCGGGTCTTTAGAGAATCCTGCATGAATACACAGTGCACGTTATGTACTGAAGTCCTCGAAATGAGCAAAACATGTTCCAGGGATTAATGGTCATCTGAAGGCAAGAAACAGGATTTCCATTAAGGAGGAAAGATGAACAAATCATTACTTTAGCTAAGTAGTTTAAAAAAACCATTAAAAATGGCAATGGAAAGTATTAGAGGTTTACTCTTATTTAATTCCAGCAATATTTCTAGGTTTTGTGTAGTTATAGTTTTATTTTTATTTTCCTATCTTTCACATCTATTTTATTTCAATTTATGAAAATATTTTCTTATACTTTTAACGTTCATTAATAATAATGACCCTGCAAACATAAACAAAAATAATTACATAGAATAAATAATATACCTACACATATTTACCTCTAATCATAATTCAATCATCTTCTTCTTATGTAAGCTAATCAAACAGCATCAGATACAGGACAAAGAAGTTCGATAATGGTGGACAGGGAAGGCAAGTCCAATGAACAACAATGGTCCAGCTACTACAACCATCTTTGTGTTTCGTTGTCCTGGTAAAGTTTTGTGCCGGTGGCTCTGCTGGCCTGGATGAAGTGTTTCATTGTCTGCTGCTGCTCATTTTGGAGGTTTGTTTGTCTGTTAATTCAGACTAATGCCTGTAGCTCCTCGGAACCAGTCAGACAGGGGTGGGGAGGGATACTACAACTGGTATGTTCTGGCAGAAACTTGTAGAGGGACATTCTGGGGCGTCAGAGCGCATGGACACACTGGCAGGTGCAAGGGCCCCTGGAATATGTAAAATTATACATGAAATATGGAGGGGGGGCAAGATGACATTTTGTCAGGGGGTCCAGAATTTCTTGGTACTTTCCAGGTTACATTGGTCTAATTAGATGTGTTGGAAACGCAGTGAAATTATGGAGATACAATCCCCCACCCTCCGCACCCTCTTCTCCCTGAAATATGCCCCAGGTCATGTTGGGAATTTTCCATTCCCACACGGCTGTTTTCTAAGCACAATAACTACACTGAAACGATGATGACCTCAGGTAAATCTGCTGTACTGTAGGTCTCATATGTACTGCCTGCCCCATGCCAAACTTTTTGTTTGCCACAGAAGTATCAACAGGGACAAACTGTGGTTGTTATTGGTCAGAATAGGCGCTGAACTTTTCATTGTCTGAAAGTACAGTTAAAATAAAAATCCACTCAAAGAAACATAAACCACTTTTCAGATACTCTCAGAGGGAATATTTTGAAAACATTTCT